TAACACAAAAAACATGAATTACGTACTTGTAACTGAGCCGAACGGAAATGTTATCAGGGATGAATCAGGAAATATTCTGGTTCAACAACAACCTGGTAAGTGCTTCTATTTGTATGTTATGTAAACGTATACTTTTGTGGTATAAATTATAGAGGTTATGTAAAAATGTTTTTGTTCATTATTTGCACATAAATTTTGAGGACGGCTATAAATATTAAAAATTTTAATATTGTTTTATTGTTACAAGAAATGCATTAATATTTATTACTTCTTCCCAAGCTGCTACATTATTTCCAAACGTTGGAATTCAAGCTGAAACGGAGTCTTCAAGATCTGACCTTATTACAGATAATGAACAAGAAAACAACACTACAAGCAGAACTTCTTGGAATCGAAATAAGATTATAGAGCTAATAAGTTTATATAAGTCTCATGAACATCTATTTAAAAGCACGACAATGAAAAAGGATAAAGTATGGGACATAATAGCTCAAAAGTTACCGATGCACACAACTGAGCAAATAAAAAACAAATTTAAATATCTGAAACAGAAGTATATGAAAAAGAAAGATAACATGGGTCAAAAGAGCAGTGGAGCAGGTTCGATAAAATTCGATTATTTTTTTGAAATGGACGAAATATTTGGTCAGGATCCTGACGTGCAGCCAGTGTCAACTGCATCTTCTTTACGAGGAATTAAACGTGCATCCAAAACATCATTGATTGAAATTGAAGAAAATTCATGCAGTGACGATGAAGAGATTACAACGAAGAAAAATAAAAAGTCGAAGATAAGAAAAAGAAGTGAATTAGCAAAACAACTAAGTACATACGACCAAAATTTTAAAGAAAGGGAAGCTAAAAAAGAAGAACGTCATAATGAGTTAATGGCTCGACAAGATGCAGCTCTAAAAATTTTAGAAAATATTGCAAATTCATTTGCAAACTTACCAAATACTAAAAATTAATCATTTTGATAAGATTAATATTATATTATATTTTATTTTGTTTTTTTATTTTTAAAGATTGCTAATAACATTTTGTTTTAATGATTACGGATAATCGCACTTAGAAAGTATAAAATACTTTTTGTTTTCAATATGAGGTTTTTATTTAGCTTATATAATTCTATTATTTTATAAGAGTTATAAATTCATACAATAACATTTCGTATTGTATTGCAAGGTAAATCACTAAGGTAATGGAGATTTTTATACCAAAGAAATACTTTAATTTTTTTTACAACAGTTTTTTTATGTTATGTGCTGTAATTCTGGAATGGAACTTTTAACCGAGCTTTTGATTTATCTGTTGTAAAAAGTAAGACTGAAATTGACGTGATATTTTACTTTTAGACTGATGTGATACTACTTTTACATTATATGTGATACTATTATTACCTGTAAGTATTGCAAAATAAATAAATATATTATATTTGAAATATAGTTAACGTTCAAGTAGCTTATAAGTAAAATTATTTGAGTTAAAATACTTTGTGCTCAATTAGTAGCTTTTAAGAAAAACTATATTATCTATTACATGTTATGTAACTTTCCAATTTTATAAGATGAAAAAGGTTTTTAAATACAACTATATTTTTGAAAAAGATCGAAAATACGGAGTAATAAACTGTAAATGTGAAAAGTGATGTTAGATTAGATATGAAATAAAACCAATGATTCATGAAATTTGTGATTTATTGAAACGGATACAAATTTTCTGCGATCCTGTCTCGTAATGCGTGACCTTCTCTTCCCAGTTTTTGTGCATTTATTTCGTAATTAGCTGCTTCATTATTAACATTGTCAGCATGATCCACCACTGCTTGAAGCCCTTCATCTATAAACATGTCTCGTATTTCTTGATTTTTTTCATTATTTAAACATATGTTGTGTAAAACGCATGCAGCAATTATTGTTGGTGCTATGTAGTCTGTTCGATTCATGTCTAAATATTTAAGTCGTCTAAATCTTCCAAATAAAAGGGCAAAACAACGTTCAACTACTTGGCGAGACTTGGCATGGCAAGTATTGAAATGTTTTTGTCTTTCGGTAACATTTCTTCTCTCGATGTAGGGAGGTATACACCATTGGAAAACGGGATATGCTTTATCCCCGATAATAAATTGCCTTTCATCAAAATAATTATTCGAATGATTCATGAATTCTTCGTATATTGGCGAATTTCGAAAAATCCTTATATCTGATACTCTGCTAGGATAACCCGCAAAGCAATCAAGAATTGACATTCTATTTTCGCATATTACTTGCCGAGTTATGGCATGAAAACATTTTCTGTTAATGTAAACATCCGGATTTACACTTGGAGCCTTGATAGCAATATACGTTCCATCGATAGCACCGATTATGCCTTCTATTCCAGCAGAAGCTTGAAAAGATAGTGCTATGCGTTGGCGTTGTTCAACATTTGGCCAAAATATAATTTCTGGAGAAATTTCATTCAAAGCAGTCACAACCCGCATAAAAATAGCAGATAGTGTAGACTTTCCTAGGTCAAAACGACTACCGACTGATCTGCAGAATAACAAAAATGTTAAACTACAAAATGAATATTTTGCACTTTTTATAACTTGTTTACTTACCGAAAACTGTCTGGTGTTGCTAATAGCCATAAAAAGGCGAGTAATTGTATTTTTGGATCTGTAGTTTGGTGTCCAGCTGCTCGAGCACTTTCTAATAGAGGAGCTATTCTATTTAGGAGCCATTGAAAGCTTGTCACGGTTATTCTGAAGTGACTTTGAAATTCGGAAGCAGTAGACATATCAATAACTCTTTCGATAAAACCTTCAATGCGATGAGGCCTGGTTGCTGGATTATTAATGCGGACTTTCAATCTGTCCAAATACAATATCATTTCTTCGTCGCTATCTTCATCATCATTGTTGTCATTTAGATCAAAGAATATTAATTTGCTTAAATAACTGATCACAATTAAACCAGCTGCCTTTAAATTATCCATTAACAGGTTCTATCTACAAATAAATAACATTAAACTTATAAGGGAACATTCCCAACTCGGAAATTCAAAAAATTATGAAACTCTGGCAATACATAAAGAACATCCTAACATGTAATAAGCTATTTTAGGCAGTAAAAAAATAGCTTATTACATGTCAACATGTCCTCTATGTATTGCCAGTTTCATAACAGAACATAAACATAACCTACAACGCAAATCCACATGTATTTGACCGTCACGCTTTATTACACCACGCCGTTCTGCGCATGTCAGACGTTTCTCGTCGAAGTCCCGAGCACGACGAGAAGTTGTCGTCCGGGCGTTTGGAAATTGTGAAACGGAACGCAGTTATGACGTCACACCTTGGTAAACGGAACGGTTTTGGACAAAAAGTTGTCGTCCGGACGTTTATACGGAACGCACCCCTGTTAACATACATTTTTTCCACGAAGTTGTTATGACAGATTTCATAACCTCTCGTAAAATTATTGTGTTGTAAATACTGAGATATTACTTATATCTCAGTGGTTGTACATACATAATAATGTTATATCCTTCCTCTCGCAGGATTTGGACAAAATCGCTTATAGCCAGACTCTGTATAGAAGGTCTCTATTGTAAACATGTTAAATTGATGGAATAAAATCATTGCATCGCAGTCGTTGTGACAATTTAATTAAACGCCCATCACGCCGTAACGAAGCGTCGTTGACCCATGGTTCCTATACTTAAAAGTTGGTGTATTTATTCCTTCTTTCATTAAACAAATTTACGAAACTTAGTTTTTCTACACCCTGTATATATCTCAGGAACTGCTTAATATTGTAACTCGTGCTCAATCGTGGTTAATCGGGACGGTGGTCAATCGGAACCGTGGTCAATCGGGACGGTGGTCAATCGGGACTGTGGTCAATCGGAACCGTGGTCAATCGGAACCGTGGTCAATATCAACGTGGTCAATCAAAACGGTGGTCAATCGAGACGATTGTCAATCGGGACAGTGGTCAATCGGAACCGTGGTCAATCGGGACGATGGTCAATCGGGACGGTGGTCAATCGGGACCGTGGCCAATCGGAACCGTGGCCAATATCAACTTGGTTAATCGGAATTGTGGTCAATATCAACGTGGTCAATCGAGACCGTGATTAATAAAAACCGTGGGCAATCGGGACCGTAATCAATCGCAACGTAATCAATATTAACGTGGTCAATCTCAACGTGGTCAATTTCAACGTGGTCAATAGTGACCGTGGTCAATCGGGACGGTGGTCAATCAAGATTGTGGACAATCGGGACGGTGGTCAATCGCGACCGTGGTCAATCGAGACGGTGGTTAATCGGGACGGTGGTCAATCGGGAGTATCGGGACGATGGTTAATCGGGACCGTTGTCAATCGCAACGTGGTCAATATTAATGTGGTCAAACGCAACGTGGTTAATCTCAATGTGGTCAATTTCAACGTGGTCAATTTCAACGTGGTCAATAGGGACCGTGATTAATCGGGACGGTGGTCAATCGGGATAGTGGTCAATCGGGACCATGGTCAATCGGGACGGTGGTCAATCGAGACCGTGGTCAATCACAACGTGGTCAATCGCAACGTGGTCAATTGCAACGTGTTCAATATCAACGTGGTCAATTGGGACCGTGGTAAATATTAACGTGGTCAAACGGGACGCTCCCACACGCAGAAGTGCCGACTGAGTGTTATAACTCGGGCGGTACGCGGACTGTCTAGGATTTATGAGATCATGCTTGATTAAGTAGTCAGTGATCTGTGAGGCAACGATCCTTTCAAGTATTTTAGACAGTTCGGGCAGATTGGCTATCGGTCGCGTATCAGACGGGGATAGAGGAATACGATTTTAGAAAAAGGGCAGATAAGCGCCCGCTTTCACTAAGACGGAAATGAAGAAGTTTCTAATGAGCGGTTAAATAAAGCAGCTACGATGAAATCGTAGGCCAAGCAATACGCAAAATATAAAGAGGTTGTCCGAACCCGACGCATAAAAATGAAGAGGTCCCGTAGTGATCTGGTCAGTGGCAGAAATAAAATCAGCATATGAGCAAGGGAACAGAGCAGTAGAAACTGAAACGTAAAATGAGTTTAACTAATCAGGTGTAAAAAAAATGTAGAGGATAAACTAAGGTTGATCTTACAAGACTGAGACGAGCTAGTTCTTTCCAAAGTTTTGCATGATCTGTGATGTTTTTCAGAGAATCAAATTAAAACTCACTTTTGGCACGTTTAATGTCAGTATTAAGCTGGTTGCGAAAAAATCTGTAGGTGGCGTAGCTAAGCAAACTGCTAGAACGTTTTGCCTGCTTATATAATTGATTGCAAACACGCATCCGGGTCTTAAGTTCATCAGTAAGCCACCGCGCTGAAGGCTTCCTAATTGCAAATACACGAATAAAAGCAAATATATTCAGTGCCCTTAACAGGTTACTAGACAGCATCTCACAGAATCTATCAACATCAGCATCGTTAGTCACTTCATTAATCTCAGTCCGCACTGTACCAGCGATGGATCCAAGATATTCAGA